GGACCGTTCATTATTTACACCCGGGGTTGGTACCGAAGAGATATGGGTTGGGTAATCAAGTTTTTGACTAGCTCATGGGTTGGGTAAAAAAATTTGTGGCTGTCTGTCAGCTATAAAATAAAACCGAAATTACCATGCATTGGAAAATATGAAGAAAAATGTGCACAATACATTCTGTACCAAAGTAGACTATCAGTGATTGAGGAAGGACTCTATTATTGATCAGCAGGAACGTGGGTCCATTGGCACACTCAGTGAGTTTGAGTCTGAGTGAGCTTTTAAAATTTAGGCAACTTGATTTCTGTCACCATATAATCTTGTGTGTTTAATTATTAAGTACAGTAACACATGGGTTGGGTAAACATTATTTTGACCAATGTTGAGGTTGGGTAAATAAAAAAATTACAGTGTTTTTCGCTTCTCTTCGGTACCAACCCCAGGTATAAATAATGAACGGTCCCTTAGTGAATGCGCGTATACATGAAACTGTTTTTTACAGTTTCAATATTTGTTTGTAAATCTCTGAATGGTAAAACTTGCCAATACTCCAATAATACGTTTCAAAAAAAGACAAAAAAGCTTTAGTTTTGCAGAGTTAAATTCTCAAACGTGTAAGGCAATAATAAGATGAAAGTATCACGAAATTATTTGAATAAACCACATCGCATATATGGGGGGCGAATGTCCTAAAGAGGGGCGATATTCCTAGGGTATTCGCCGCACCCCCTTGGGAGGCGATATTCCTAGGATATTCGCCCCCCGGGGGAGATATTCCTAGGAATATCGCCACGTTTTGAGGGGGGGGGGAATTTCCTGGGGGGGCGACCTTTTTAAAAATTCTATCTTGCCCCCCAAAAATTTGAGTTTGCCCTCAAATGCCCCCCCAAATTTGGAAGCCTGGCGCCGCCACTGAATATAATAAAAACGAGTAGGTTGAAGGTCGCCGCTGGTTCGAAACCCATACGGCATGCAACTGCGGCAGGCATCTTTTCAGTTGCTTGCGCGTGGTCTGGAAATTATGATATACTCACTCGAGGACATTTTCTCCTTAAAAATATGTATGTATGTACTGTACAGGTATGTATATATATATATTGTTTTTCACCTCGATGTTTTTCAATTTGATTTTGAGTATTTTTTCATTAAGAAAATATACCCATGATTGTACTTATGATAAGCTAAGAAATTATACTCATGATAACCTCTATTGCTAATTATTATCTATCCGTGTTAATGTTTCCACAGCAATTTGCCCATTCCTCAAATGTATACCATGCCTCCCAGGAGTTGGTTATGTCAAAGACGCAAGAGGATGTCAAACCTGCAAATGTCATACATGTAAGTTAAATAATTTCGCGCATGCAGTGTAGTTCCTTCAAAGATGTCATAATGACGAATTCTTGTTTGTCTCTCTATTATACAGGATGTATAAAAAACTGAACAGATTTAAAATTTCTCTCAATTTCACAAAACAGCTATTAGTATCCAGTCTTTGATATACATAGCTTCTTTGGGTACTTATAATGTAGAATAATAATAAAAAATTCTCAAACTCAAATTTTGAAATCCAGGGCGTGTGCCTTTTCCAACAAATTAAAAATGCCTCGCGCACCAGATTTAAAAGCTATGGGTGAAAATTGTGTTGGGTGTTGTTTAATTGCTGGACGAAATTTCAGACAATATATGCTTCAGTTTAAGCCTTTTGACTATTCTCGCAAACTTACATTTTTTCCTAAAAAACAGCTTTTAAATTTGCCTAATTTGGATTTTGCATGCAGCAATATGCAACTGATTAGGTAAAAGCATTAATTAAACAAATACAAAACGCTGATTTTTAAGAAAAAATGAATAGCTAAAGGGCTTATTAACCTATATAGCAACTTGTCTGAAATTGTGTGCAGTAATTAAAAACCCAACCAATTTCCAATCCATTAACTTAAAATACGATTAAAGCTTTTAAATTTTGTGCTCAAGCCATTTTTAGTTTGTTGGAAAAACAACACACGCTGGTTTACAAAATTTGCGTTTGAGTATTTTTTTCATTATTCTACATTATGGTTACTCAAGAAATCCATTATAACAGAAACTTGATACCACGAAATGTTTTCGAAATTCAGAGCAATTTCAAATCTGTTCAGTTTTCTTACGTCAACCTGTTTCATCCAAGAGGAATCATCACGTGGCTCACTTGCCGTGTTGGCTCATCAAGGAGCCACCTGATAATTCATCTTGGATGAAATAGGCTGTTATGCCAACCTTTTGTCTTTCGAGGTTAAAAAACAATATATCCGCTCTATTTATATGATATCGAGCACTCTTTAGCATTTTGTGAATCAAAACTCACTCGTTTGGTCCAAGTATATATTACACGCAGATGACACTTTTACCCACTTTGAATTCGGCTATTTACGAATTAACTGAAGCAGTATATAGAATATTGGACTCATCACTCATTATATTTCAACTGACTGATGCAGCATTGAAACTAGAATATTTATTACATAATTACTCAGGCCAACGGCATTATTGGATATATTGCAGCCAGCTGAGGCCGAAGGCCGAAGCTGGCTGCAATATATCCAAATAATGCCGTTTGGCCTCAGTAATGATCTATTATAATTAATGACCCGAATCAAAAGTAATTTTTTTCGGCTGGAAGATTACTAACGTTGCTGCTTGTCAGAAATGTATGACAATAAACCTATCCAACTTGCACTGGACATTTGTAAGGACATGCATATAAACATATATTAGGAACGGTAATGCATCGTGATAGAACAGATTTCAATTTAATTAATCGCCGTAAATTAAAATCTCCACAAGCGGAGGTCAGTTAGGGATAATGTTCTAGTTTACATATTATCATTAATGATAAGGTTAATTCAAAGTGCGTATTAAACTGGATAAACACGAGAATAGAACTTATGATGTGTTCTGCATGCAAAAGGATAAAATCCCACAAGCGCAAACGAAACTACTGCTCTATAAAATTGAACTGAAAGGACTCAGAGTGACCATTTTTGGCAGTGCTTCAGGCACCCGCCGAATCTAGTTTTATTGGATCAACAATACAATCAAGACAGACAAGAAGAAGAAGAGAAGAACAGACAAAGTCGCAGTGGAGGAAGAACAAGAAGAGTTGGTGGAGCAAGTAGTTACGAAGTGGAGTGAAGCAGCAGTTGAGGAAGTGATGGATGTTCATGGTGAGGCAACGATTAACGTAGCAACGATTGGTCAGGCAGCCGCGATGGATTTTGCTGCAACTGTTCGTGTCAATGGTGAGGAGCAGCCAAGGGTTCATCCTATTCGCCAGGGTGAGCCGAGGCTGCGTCGTTCAAATACGGTTGTATTGCATACAAACTATTTGGAGGGTTTGTCCTATTCAAGCAATTGTTAATGTTGTTTGTGTGGATGTTGTTAAAGCTGTGCAGTCAATGCCCTATGGTCGATATAGGGTCACATTTCGTACTAATGAAGCTAAACTGGCTTTCTTATCTCAGCCTTTTAACATTAAGGATGTGGAGATCGAAGTGCAGCCGATTGAGAACCCAATTGTGGATGTGAAAGTGTTGTATGTTCCTAGTGAAGTGCCGAATAAAGTCGTTGCGGAGTTTCTTGGTAATCATGGGAAAGTGGAGACGATAACACGCGAAATGACGACGGAGCATGGTTTCCCCACGATTGAAACGAGAACAAGAGTCGTCAAGATGACTGACATTAAAACCGATATCCCGCGAAAGTCAAGAATTGGACACTTCCCGGTGGAAATAAGACATAAATGTCAACTCCCTCAATGTTTTCGTTGCCGTTTATTGGGCCATCTTGCGAATGAGTGTCCGAATGATGTAGTTTGTTTTAAGTGTGGTTTGTCTGAACATACTCGTGATAAGTGTTTCAAATGTTTTCGCTGTGGCAAGTTTGGTCACGTCCGAGAGAACTGCCCTGAGTTACAGCACCCGCGCGTACCACCCGCTTCTGCTGATGGTAATTCCACCGCCCGTGTCGCTGGCACGGTGGCACCAGTAACCGTCGAATTAATGGAAACAGATCGCCGTAACGTGAATTTAGTAGCCCAAAAAGGGCAGTCCAACAGTTCCGCCCCAGTTATGTCACATGGACACCATGAGTCTCAGGATCCATCCACGTCGCAGATCCCTTCAGAGTCCCAGGTCTCCCCTGTGTCCCAGGCCTCCCCCGTGTCCCAGGTCTCCCCCGTGTCCCAGGATTCCACTCAGTCCCAACAGCCCAATGCATTATTAAATCGTGAGTCCCAAGAACTCAACCTGTCCAGTTCCCGTGCAGTTGACTCTTTAAAGGATGACGGAAGTATGGATTTAGATGCGGAACCGTTGAAGCGGGGACCGGATGGCAGTACGTGGACAGAGGTACGGAAGAAACCTAAACCTAAGTGATGGTGAACTGGTCAGTTTGCCCAACTGGTCAGATCTTGCAAAGAAATAGAAGGTCTTACGTTTCCCGGCGGACGTGAATCGAAGATCGGGCAATATGCTGACGATAGCACTTGTTTCGTCACTAACGATTATGGCCTTTTGAAAGTGCTTGACGTTTTTGAACAGTATGGACGTGCGAGTGGCGCTAAATTGAATCGAACCAAGTCTAAGGGTCTTTGGCTCGGACGGTGGAGACAGCGATCCGATTCCCCTGGACAGCTTATGTGGTCGAATAGCACTATCAAAATCTTTGGGTTTCATTTTGGGGATGAGAGTGCTTTTGCAAAAACATGGGAAGCCGGAATGGCAAATTTTTCCATAGTTTTGACGGAATGGAAGCAAGCCTGTAGCTGAGGGGGGG